GGTCGCGAACGTGTTAGAAGTTGCATGAACATCTCATAATTCAACTATATTTTAAAACAATATTTTTCCAAACTACTTGCAAAATTTAAGAATCATAAAAATTGTACTTGCATACGATACAACCGTAATATTGCGAGTAACCATGACAAAAATTACTAAAACACCATTAAAATAAAGTCGAACGTATGCCTGAGTACAAAACCTTTAAGTCATAATAAATAAAAAAAAAGGAGAACCTAAATAATTTCCATAAATCCAAAGATTCACAGTTAGTAGAGCTAAACGATAGGGTGTCGGAGACAAGGTGAAGGGTGCTAAAAAAAGCGTCGGTTGGTCAAAGGTGCGCGGTGTATATCACGCCATACACGGCCAGTCGCGATACAAGGTGACACACCGCAACCGTGATCGGCCAGGTTTCACCGGTATTTGTTGATTGTGGGATGCTGCCAACTCGACGCGCGAGCACTCCGCCACTTAACCGCTGTGCCCATCGGCTGGCTACCACCACCAGGATATTTCTAGTCGGCTCGGTCGCGACTTACTAGTTGATGATCGGTGTGTGCGCTCGGATCGTCGTCCGCGTGTACTGTTCCGTGCCGTGCTGTTCCGGTAGCTCAAACTCAATCAGATCCAGTGTAGTGCCACTTTTCCGGCTCTAGTTTTTACCCCGTGTTAAACGTGGATCGCGGTCCCTTTTAATAAGAGGCTAAGTCCCTGTGACGAATGTGAACGATCGAGATGAGCGAAAGGAGAAAGATACCACCGCCGTCACGGAAACGGGTCGCCGAGGAGTCAGCAACCAGGTCAAGGGAACCGATCAAGCCGCCGAGGACGAGGCACCAGCCGGTTCGCGCCTACGAAACTGGACAGCCGACCCGCGTTAATGAGACTGGCCAGCAAATCCGAGTCAATGAAACCAGCCAGTCAATCCGAGTCAACGAAATCCAGAAGCCGATCCGGGTCCAAGAGACCAGCAAAGCGGATCATGTCCAAGAGACCAGCAAACCGAACCGTGTTAATGAGACCACCAGCCAACCGATCCGCGTCAACGAGACTAGCCAGCGGCACATAAACCGTGGTGCGCTCGATATACACCTGCGATACGCATGATCGCTCAAGTACCCGGCTAGGTAGAGTCTGCCGATTAGTCCCGGTCTAGTTTTGAAATTCTCTACCTGGACTACTGGAATGTCTTGATAACGGGTTGATCGACCGGTCGATCCGATTGCGATCTCAGTACAACTGTGATATGACGAGACGGAGGAAGACGAAATGTATATCTCCCATAGTTTTGACGCTAGATTTGATAGGTGATCAGAGTGACCAGGTTTAGTTCATAGATTTATAATTGTTGGGGCCCTAAAAGTGTCTTTGTGGGAAACTATTAAGTAAATTTTTTTACTGTGAATCCTACGATAAATGTTGTCTGATACAATTGTAATGAATTTAGTTTCATTGCAGGGTACTTCTAGTGTTGAAGATACTCGCGAAAATTTTAGTCCATTCGCAGAAGTTGAAGTGAAGTTATCTTAAATTGCATTGAAATCTGTATATCATTGATTTCCTGAAGATTTCCCTTTGTTGTAAATGCATAAAGTTTCAGTCTATAACATAAATCACACAGGAGATCGAACGTGGCCTAAATTCGATTCAGAGCACCCATGTTTCTAGTGCTGGCACAATCTAGGACCAGCGTCACTTAAACCCGATTTCGTGATGTTGTAGACATCTTTTTCGGTTCTGTGGCGTACGATTGGCTTATTACCAGAACAAGACGAAATTTGCTATAATGGAGTCTGTCGGTCGAAACACGGCCCCTAAAATACAGCCGTGACATAAAATCGCTTAAATGTGATACCGAGTACAGTTTGGGTTCAATAGAATCCCAAGGGTTTTGATTGTGATGAGAATTGGCCTGTCGCCAGATATACGCGAACGAATCCGGGAATGCTCGAAGCATACCGGCGGAGCGATATGATGGTTTAAGTACGGGATAAAATAAAGTAGAACTCGTATATGGAGACTGGCTTATTACCAGAAACCACGAATAGTAACCCCCGTTACGTAATATTTGGTTCCGTTTATGGATCTGCCCGTGTCTCGATTAGAATGATAAAATCTTGTGGCGCGGAATCCAGCGATGATTCCTGTTGGGAGTTAATTTAGATTCTCGTCGGTCTAAAAGCGGCCAATGCTATACGTATGCGTGATAGTTTTAGGCTCGGCAGTGGGATTTTCAGGCAACCCTCCAATAGATGCTTCTGCTTTCAGGAATATAATTTTGTCGTTATGTTACTGTTGAAAAACACTTTTCATTTTGTGTTCTTATCTGGTTGGTTAAACAATGTCGCTTTTCTTTTCACTGAGTAAATCTTACAATTAAATCCATTGGAAGATCGTAGAAAGTCGTTGGAAAACATGGGCAACCCATAGTTTAATGCAGCTTGATTTAATAAAGTGAAATTTGTGTTCAAACCTTGTTGAAAGTTTTTAGCTGACTTAATAATCTTCAGTGAAGAGTTAACATGGATTTTCTAATGGAGAAGATGCGAATGGTTATTAGTAAGAAACCATTATTTAATAATAGAGTATAGTGTCTTATTTCTCCATCTTTTTTTTATGTTTTTTGTGTATATTTTGAGTGATTGAACAGTTTTTGTGGTCGATAATGTTTGTAGATCCATAGCGGAAAAGATAAAGCTACTGTTTTAGAGAGTAAAAGTTCTTTCAAGTGGGTGCAGGCATGATTGCTTTCGTTATAATGTTAGAAAATGTGAAATTAGGGGTGGGGTTAAATCATTTTACTATTTCTATTTTTACTAGTAAGGTGCAGATCAAAATATTTTTACGAAAGTAATGTATCTAACTTTGTTTTCATCTTCAAAACTTCATTGGTTTTTTAATTGTACTCGTATAAATAGTTTTCGTACAAAATTCTGTATTCTCTTTTGATAAATGACTGAATTGTCTCACAATTTTTAAAAAATACTTCATGAATGTCTTACATGCAGAGAATCAGTTAGTTTCCATTCTGTCTCCCATTGTTACATTAGTTGGTCTTTTGACTCCTTCATTAATTTGTCCTGTTTAACGGTCTGATTAGCCTGGTCATTATCTGGAACTTAAATACGATTAACCTTGCCTCCTTCGTCCATGATCTTATAGTGATTCAAGGGTTTGGATTGGAATGTTTTTGAATTAGGAATGATAACAGTATGAATGTACAATGTAATTTTGAGGGTATACTTGAAAGCATGTAATTTATCTGGAGAGATCGATGCATTGTTTATGATTTTCTTTTGCAATGAATATTTAGTTACTGCAAAACCAGTTTCAGATTCGGATTGATACTACATCTATCGATGTAGGTACATGTATATGCTTTGTGGCGTTCAGTAACTCTATTGTTAACTTACAGAAAAGAACTGGGTTAATTTTACCACAGTTAATTCCATATTGTAATATGACTTTCGCGACTCCTTTAGAGATAGCCCTGAAGTGTTTAATATTAAGATCTTGTTTGTGCATCCTACAGTAAAAAGGTTTTGATGTAGGTATACTGCAGTTGGTTGTATTTAGTTAAGAACCGGTTTACGCAGGCGTTGCGAGAAGTTGGTTTGTTGGGGACAGGAGAAATTTTTGTAGCCCGAATTAAACCGAGGAGTTCTCTTCTGTAATTCAGAGAAGGTTCGTTTATTTCATGTATAAGGCTGGGAATAGAATTTGCTCTCAATGTTTCTGTTGTTATTCTTAACCTTTGGAGCACCGGTATTTTTTTATGAAAATTTGGTGTATATGTGTGTGCGTGTTTTTTCAACAAATTTTTGCATCTATTCAACGTACATGCTGTACACAATTTCAAGATTTGTACAAAGCCTGAAGGAGAGCTTTAATAGTCCTCTGGGATCCCTGAATTGGTTTTTGTTGAGGTTGCTAAGCATTCCTGGGTAGTGGAATTTGAAGATTCATTTTTGCAGTGGTGGTACTTATACTTAGAAAATATCATTAGTCGAATAGCAGAATTATTCGTGTACTAGGCATTAATGTATGAAAATTAGAATAGAATTGCCGATGAACTACATAATGGGTGACTGAGTGTATTCACATATTTACTGAATCAAAATGAAACACTGACACTATTGGAGCACGCATGTTTTATCTCTATAAAAACTTGAAGCACATTAAAAACCAAGACAGTATGAATGGTGTCTCTACCTGGAATTGCCAAGAACTGTTAATTCAATAAAATCACTTAACCACTTGCGGTAGAGTTTAAACGGGGTCTGCGTGAACCATAGCGTGCCTTAAATGTCATAATACTCAGTTGAGAACAATCATTTGTAACGTAGTGAATGTACATTACCTTTATAATCATAGTAGATGCACTGCATTAAATAAAAAAAAACAAGTGGAAAATTTGTTGAAACCATAATATCAAACCGTGAAAGCTTAATTATTTAGAAATATTACTATCGAGCTTTTGTTCATGAATCATTTTGTTTGTAATGGTTATCGAATTTTACGCATTTTTAATGTCTACAAATTTTTTAAAAATTTGTAAAGCATAAATTTTAATTGTTGATTAAACCAATGATAGCCACGCATTTCAAAGTCAGAAAATTGTTTCATTTTATCGAAATAGAACTTTTATTTGACACTCAATTATTTACTCATAAAATCACCATATTTTAGCTATTGATTCAAAAACTAGAAATATTCTATTCCCACTGTTATTTCACAAACGCAGTTTAAACTATACTAATTTGATGTTCATTCAAATAACGTTGATGCATTATTTAAAAAATGCTGTTAAATGTAGAGAATTAAAAAGTACTCGGTACAATACAAGAATGACTATAAAAAAATATAATGATTGCACGCGTTATCCATGTCTTCGACACTATAAAAAATACTTTAATATAAAAATTCAAAATAGTATTTTTCATAAATTCCAGCATCGTTAATTACTATCAAGTATCAAATTCAAATTTGTTATCAAACTTAGCTTGAATGGTATCAGCCACATTCAAGTCTTTAAACTTTCTCATTCAGCGAAAATCTTTGTCGATCAGTGACACCATTCTTGATGCTCAGTGTCTACTATGTTTAAGGCTCGATTAATAAGAATTTTTGGAATATTATGTTTGAAGCTAGATTTTATCTTCACCATCAGATAATGGTCGGTATTTGAACCTAGTAATAAGAGCATCATTTAAATGCACCTATTTAAGAGCGAGATACGATAAACGTACGCGAGCAATGCATGCAACCAAAATAGATGAGAAGGAAACAGGTGGAACTAAATGCGCTGTTAAAAATTTGCTTTCAGCCGAGAAAGTTGCGATGACGACCTTAGACGAGAATGTGAACCGTGTGCCACAGCTGTGTACAGAGAACGAACCGCTAGCTGGTGAGTCTTTTTCCCTTTTGCCTTTTTCATTTTTCGCATTCTCTTCGGCGTTTCGTTTGCCTTTTGATCCTAACCGATGTTTCCTGCCTTTCTACCTTAAAGAATTTAAAAAGTCGCTTTTTAAACCTTTGCAGCACTATGTAACGTGAGTTGGACATTTTTGATGTTGAACTTTAATAGACCCTTCGTAACACATACCGTTCGATTTATCATTAACAATTGTACAATTCGAATTTTACTGTTTATACCTTGTTGAATTTGTCTAGTCAAATGTGTAAAAATTGTACTCAAAGGATTAACTTCTCGGAACAGTATTTTTTTTAACCCCTTGTGGCATGAAAATATTTACAAATGTTACTGTTTTCATTAACTACAAACTACTGTTTTCATTAACTACAAGCTACTACAAATCAAGCATGCTTAGATTAAGAAAAATCTAATTTAATTATTAGAATAATTGTTTACATTTTTATTCTTATTATTTTTATTCTAAAATCAAGATAGTATTATAGGATAAAATCAGAATGATGTGATTCAAGACGTAAAAGAGTTAAATTATTGCATGTTGCTTTGAGTACATAATTTACAAGAGCTATGTACAATTGTATATTAAATATGTGCCTAATTTTTTATTTAGAAGGTTTTCTAATATATAATCCTAATCACTAAACCACCATCATAAAATTGTTATGTAGTGAAAACTCTTTGATTAATACAGCAGACTATACGTACAATCTGCCATTTATACTGTCAGCCACCTGAAATCTTGTCCTTACATCAGATATATTTTACATCTTATTATAACAAATATTTTATCTTTTTATAAAATATGATTACTTACACATGAGTGACATGGCAGTTAAAGTATCAATATCGATCATTATCACCTTACTCATCCTTAAAGAAACATAGTTTTCAAATTCTCATAAAAGACTTCAACACTGTCCCGAATCGTCATATCTGCCAATTTCGTTTAAATTGTACGAAAAACGGGCTCCTGATTAACAAGTTTCCTGCAAAAAATAACACACTCTGGAGCTTGATAAACATGTAAAAATCACAAAAAAATTGTTTCGCTTTTTGTGAGCTAAAAATATGTTTGCTATTATTGTAAAGATCCAAACAATCACACTTCGACTGCCAGGTCTAACTGAATTTTCTCGATTGTACATCGAGCGAACCGAGTTCAATCATTTATAGAATCTATCTATAAGATGCAAGAAGATTAAAAGAGTAATCGCTACGGGAAACCTCAGCTTTCCGCTTTTTGTCCCATTAAGAAACATGTTTTGACGGTTATTTTGATGAGATTTTAATGGGATTTTGATGGGATTTTGATATGTGTTGGTTCGACAGCCAACACGTTAATGAGAAAACTATCCATCAGCCTAGAAGTGAGTCTTACCACGTACCGTTTTCAGTACACGCTTTCCAAGGAACGTGTTACTCCTGCTACAAATCAGGTAATTAACATTCCTGTGTTCCCCTTGTCGTGCAAAAAGCTTAGGGTACGGGCATTCCGGTTCCCGCGAAAGTCCTGGAGGCCCCGCCGGCCGCTCCTTAATACGGTCTTACCAGCGGGGGCCAATTGCACCGTTGCATTTCCCTTCTTTTCCAATTCAGCCGGTTGGCTTGACGGTTAATTGAATTTCCGTATTTCGTTTTTATTCGTTTCGTCGGCGCCATCGCACCCCCTCTAACTGTTCCAGATGAGAAATTCGACGCCCTGTATTTACGAGTTTAATGCGGTAATGATTCGTGTAAATGGAAGATTGCAAGGTGGAGTACGT